AGATCATTAAACTTACTCTGACCGGCGGACCAGGGCATAAACACTCAGGCATCCAATCTTCACCCGGTCGTCTCCAGACATACACACGGTTGCTTTCTCCTATTACTACCTTACATTCATCTGTAAATATCACTCTATCCCATTCTCCTTCAGCTCTCCACAATCTCTTTCCTCTTGCCCATGCCACACGATTTTTGCGGATCTCGTCGCGAATACGGATCTTTCTTACAATCCTCCTATGAAAATTATTTTCATACAATCGTCTCTTGACTGTTCTCTGTGAAACAGGAGAATGCCTACCCTGATTGATAATATCCGTAATACCAGCTAACGGAACAGTACGTTTGGTTTTTACGACTCTTAAAAGTTTCCTTGTTTCACGGTTGTCCATTTTTCGATTTCTGCCACTTCTTGGGGCCTTTTCCACCGAACCTCTAGCTAAATAGCACTGTACAATTGAATACACACTGTTCTGAGGAATGTTCAATTCACGGCCAATAGTTGCATATTTTTGTCCTGACAGATATTTGTCAACAATCATTTGTTTCACGGGTGTAGAAAATTCTTTGCCTTTCCCCATCTTTACATTCACGAGACCTTTTCGTTTTAAGCTGACGACATATTTAACAAATGACATCATAGATCGATAGTGGAAATTCTTAGCTATTTATAGAGGTAAGACACTTGCATGGTAAGATTGTGTAATTGTGTAAACCTTGTATTTTTTTATGATTCTTTCAAAATCATGACGCTATTTTTACGTTTGTTCATAAATATATGGCACAATACTGTATACTTGACTCTCATTAATGCTGCTTGTGATTTATATAACATTTTTAAGTTGTAAAATGTATATCAGTTATTAGCTCACCTGAGCTGAAAGCTCAAGTGAGCTTTTATGATCACCCGTTGTCCGTCGTCCGTCCGTCCGTCCGTCCGTCTGTCTGTCCGTCCATCCGTCTGTAAACTTTTCACATTTTCAACTTCTTCTCAAGAACCACTGGGCCAATTTTAACCAAACTTGGTACAAAGCATCCTTGGGTGAAGGGGAGTTTAAATTGTTAAAATAAAGGGCCAAGCCCCCTTCCAAGGGGAGATAATCAAGAAAAGACAAAAATAGGGTGGGGTCATTAAAAAATCTTCTTCTCAAGAACCACTGGGCCAGAAAAGCTGAAACTTATGTGAAAGCATCCTTGGGTAGTGTAGATTCTAAATTGTAAAAATCATGACCCCCGGGGGTAGGGCGGGGCCACAATAGGGAATCCAAGTTTTACATTGAAATATGTAGAAAATATCTTTAAAAATTTTCTTCTCAAGAACCACTGGGCCAGAAAAGCTGAAACTTATGTTGAAGCATCCTGAGGTAGTGTAGATTCTAAATTGTTCAAATCATGACCCCCGGGGGTAGGGCAGGGCCACAATAGGGAATCCAAGTTTTACATTGAAATATGTAGAAAAAATCTTTAAAAATCTTCTTCTCAAGAACCACTGGGCCAGAAAAGCTGAAAAATATGTTGAAGCATCCTGGGGTAGTGTAGATTCTAAATTGTTAAAATCATGACCCCCGGGGGTAGGGCGGGGCCACAATAGGGAATCCAAGTTTTACATTGAAATATGTAGAAAAAATCTTTAAAAATCTTGTTCTCAAGAACCTCTGGGCCAGAAAAGCTGAAACTTATGCGAAAGCATCCTGGGGTAGTGTAGATTCTAAATTGTAAAAATCATGACCCCCGGGGGTAGGGCGGGGCCACAATAGGGAATCCAAGTTTTACATTGAAAAATGTAGAAAAAAATCTTTAAAAATCCTCTTCTCAAGAACCACTGGGCCAGAAAAGCTGAAACTTACGTGGAAGCATCCTGGGGTAGTGTAGATTCTAAATTGTTCAAATCATGACCCCCGGGGGTAGGGCGGGGCCACAACAGGGAATCCAAGTTTTACATTGAAATATGTAGAAAAAATCTTTAAAAATTTTCTTCTCAAGAACCACTGGGCCAGAAAAGCTAAAACTTATGTGGAGGCATCCTGGGGTAGTGTAGATTCTAAATTGTAAAAACCATGACCCCCAGGGGTAGGATGGGGCCACAATAGGGAATCCAAGTTTTACATTGAAATATGTAGAAAATATCTTTAAAAATCTTCTTCTCAAGAACCACTGGGCCAGAAAAGCTGAAACTTATGTGGAGGCATCCTGGGGTAGTGTAGATTCTAAATTGTTCATATCATGACCCCTGGGGTAGGGCGGGGCCACAATAGGTATTACAAGGGGGAAATCGGGTGAAAAACAGCAAGGCCAAAGTTACTCAGGTGAGCGTTGTGGCCCATGGGCCTCTTGTTATTTTACATATCCAAAATTCTATTTTGTCTTAATTTTCTATCAGAATTTTACAATTGATGTTTTTTTTTTTGCAACACTACATTTTTTCTGTTGCACTCCTGACATGGTATATCATTTTTTTAAACATCAGCCATGGCCACAACTTGATTAAACAAAAGTTATGACAGTCCACATTTAAAGCTCAATACTTTGAATATTATCAGGAAAGTCTTTATTTTCAACATGAAGCATTGTTTTTTTATTTCACAGATCTCCAAAAACTTTTGAAATTTCAAAATGTCACAAAAAGGTGTTGCACTCCTGACAATTTTAGCATCATTTTTGGGCATAACTTTTTTGTTAACTGAGATAGCAACGAGATATTTGGCAGGTATTTAGACACTATCTAAAGACATATGCTGAGACATAGAAATCTATTTTCATTGCCTGTATTTTTAGTGTGGGTTGATAAATATGTGTTTGGTCATTTTTTTTTAATTCACCCTTAACATGGATGATGTATCTAGGGATTGACCATTCCAGACTTGCTTCAGATGCTGAATTTGACCTATATTTTCCAGATGAGTGAACAGGGTAATGTATTTTTAGTAGCTCTATAATTATTTGGTCTGTTATGATTAGGCCAAACAAAAAAATATGTGTGGTTCTGGTTACACCTCCAAAAAATTTAGTGTAGGTAGGTAGGGATTTTTTTTTTTTTACAAAATGAGTTTCTAAATTTTTTGCCTGCATGGCGCAGTTGTTAGAATGTCTGCTCTGGAGTCGCAGAGTAAGGAGTTGATCCATACGTCGTGGGTTTGAATCCCACTACGGGACATGGAGACCTGTCCTTCGGATGAGACTGTATAAACCAAGGTTCTGTATTGCAGTAGGTTCTGCCACGAAAAAGATTCCTCACTTGCTCAATGGCCCTGAGTGTCAAGTATAGGTCAAAATTTGTAGCCCTCCACCTGCAAGTGGTGGCATCTCCATATGAGTGAAAAATTCTCGAGAGGGACGTTAAACAACAAACAATTAATCAATCTAAATTTTTCTAAATAATACCTATCACTGCTTTGCAAGTGGCATTTAGATGTGCCATGATAATATACTAGTCAACATTGGTAGGGGCACCCCTAAATCAAAATTAATAAAAACACAAATTATCTCTTTTTTTTGGTAAATAGAAAAAAGTTCGAGGTTTATAACATCCTTTTTTTAAAATCCATGTTTTATGAAATTAATGACTTTTATCCAGAGTAATTCTTATTTTATTCAAGAATAAATTTAGAACAAAAAAATAAGAAATGGACATAGAGTACTTGCTGCAGCTAAGAGCTGTCAGAAGAAAGTGACACCTGTACTTTGTACAATAATTTTTAAAACAAAATAAACCACATAAGCAAGGTGACATAGAATCATTCATGTGTGAGAATTATAAAAATTTAATATTGTTAAAATTTTATAATTCTTACAATGAACACTTTTTGCCTCACTGAAGACTTCATACTTCCAAGCTCATTTCTCATATATATTGGTACTGTGTATGTTGACTTTATCAGGTAAAATCAGCGGTGGTGTTTGTCACTTACCCTCATCAACTTTTTTTTTTCTACTTTCGGTTTAAAAGAAACAATCCTGATATAAATTATCTAATAATTTACAGGTTAATCTATCTTAAACATTAGGCGAATTCTTGCATAATCAGTGTAATCAAATAATGTTTTCTCATGTTATCTTCCCCCAACTCCCAAAGGCATGTTATACCTGGCCAGCTGTCTGTGTGCGTTCAAGTGAGAAGTGCTTTTCTATCCTGACTTCACACCTTTGCGTGTATTAAACAAAGGGGCTAATCAGCATGTGCTGGTTAAACAGTGAGCAACTATTAATGAATCTCATCACTATTAGGCATATTTATTTAATTTTGACTAGCAAAAAAAAACAACATGACGGTGAAAAAAAGCATGCTGCCGCATCATGCTACATGTAGCTTACTTTAGATTTAACACTATTAAAAACTTGCACTACCTATTGAAATGATGTTTTGCAAGGAGGCCGCCATTGCTGAAACTAAAACTTATACCGGAGCCGATGACGGAAATTGTAGAAAATTCTGGAAAAAAATATGAAAATTGCCGGAAAAAAGTTTAGGATTGGGGGTGTAAAATAGGGATGGTCGGGTAACCGGAACCACACATATTTTTTTATTTGGCCTTAAACTTGCATGAATGATGCATCTAAGGATGGACACTTTCAGTCTTGCTTTGCACATTGGAACTGACCTACATTTTCTTGATTAGTGGCCAGGTTTAAGTTTTTAGAGCAGGTCCATTTCCAATTAACTTAAAGTCCTACTTAAACCAAACTTGCATGGATATTGATCATGGGATTCACACTAACTAGAAAAAAAATATGATGTGAGATTTGCCTTACGTATAGACAATATTTGTTGAGGTGAGCTTTGTAATCTTTGATTACCTATGTTTTTTCACAAATCATGTACAAAATCATCATTTTCAAATTGTGATGTCATAAACATAGAGCAAAATATTATGTACTGTAACACATGCTATTTAAAGAACAACTATATGTTTGCCAAATTTCATTCAGAAATAGTTTGCATACCTTAAATTTTGATTGCCTCTCATAAATTTAAGGATTAAAAATGTTATTTTATTTTTTCAGATATTTGCAATACAGATCAAGTGTTTCCATGAAATCATAACAATTGGATATACAGTGTACAAATCCTATGATCTTCCATGGTTTAGAACACTTAGCTGGTATTTTTTATTTACATCCAACTATTTTTTTTATGGAGAGAGCCTCATTGAATATTTTGGAGTTCTCCTACATAGGATGGTGAGTATTTCTTGTTTTTTGCTCACCTGAGCTGAAGGCTTAAGCGAGATTTTCTGATCACGTTTTGTCCAACGTCCGTCTAGCTGTCCATCTGTAAACTTTTCACATTTTCAACTTCTTCTCCAGAACGACTGGACCAATTTCAATCAAACTTTCCACACAGCATCCTTGGGTAAAGGGAATTCAAGTTTGTTTAAATTAAGGGCCACACACTCTTTCAAGGGGAGATAATTAAGAATTAGTGAAAAATTTGGGAGTATCTTTTAAAATTTTTCCTTCCAGTACCACTGAGCCAAAAACATTTAACTTATATGAAATTTTCTTTAAATAGTGTAGATTCAAGTTTGTTCAAATAATGACCCCTTGGGGTAGGGTGGAGCCACCATGGGAGATCAAAGTTTTACCTAGGAATATATAAGGAACAAACTTCAAAAATTTTCTTCTCAAGTACAGCAAAGCCATGATTAATCATATTGATATGGAAACATCCTCAGATAGTGTAGATTCAAGGTTGTTCAAATCATGACCACCCGGGACAGGGAGGGGGGAATTCAAAGTTTTACATAGGAATATATAGGAAAGAATCTTCTTCTCAAGAACATAATAGCCATGATTAGTCGTATTTATATGGAAGCATCCTCAGATAGTGTAGATTCAAGGTTGTTCAAATCATCACCCTTGTGGGTAGGATGGGGCCACAATGGGGGATCAAAGTTTTACATTGGGAAATATAGGAAAAAATCTAGAAAAATCTTCTTCTCAAGAACAGCAAAGCCATGTTTAGTTATGTTAATATAGATACATCCTGAGTTAGTTTAGATTCAAGTTTGTTCAAATCATGACCACTTGGGGTGGGTTGGGACACAATTGGGGATCAAAGTTTTACATAGGAATATATAGGAAAGGAAAAAATCTTCAAAAATCTTCTTCCCAAGAACAGCAAAGCCATGATTAGTCATATTGATATGGAAACATCCTCAGGTAGTATAGCTTCAAGTTTGTTCAAATCATGACCCCTGGGGGTTGGGTGGGGCCACAATGGGGGATCAAAGTTTTACATAGAGATATATAGGAAAAAAATTGTGAAAAATCTTCTTAAGAACAGTAAAGCCTTGATTAGTCATACTGATATGGAAGCATCCTCAGGTAGTATAGATTCAAGTTTGTTCAAAACATGACCCCTGGGGATAGGGTGGGGGCACCATGGGGGATCAAAATTTTACAGAGAAATACGTAGGAAAAAAATCTTCTCAAGAACAGAAAAGTGTTGATAAGTTATTTTGATGTGGAAGCATCCTTAGGTTGTATTCAAAAAACAATAAAACAAAATTTCCCATAAAAAAACCAGAACTAAAATAACTTTAAATAAAAATTGACTAGCCACCAACAGTAACCTTTGTAACAAGTATAAATCATCTTTGGGTGTTTGGAATTGATTTTATTAGGTTACCTGAGTCACTCAGGTGACCTATTGCTATCTGTTTTCCTCCATCATCACGCGGGTGTGCATCATACGTAAACTTCTCACATTTTCAACATTTTCTCGAGAACCACTGGGCCATTTTTCACGAAACTTGCCACAAAGTATTCTTGGGTAAAGATGATTCAAGTTTGTTCAAATGAAGGGCCACACCTTTTTCCAAGGGGAGATAATTAAGAATTAGTGAAAAATTGATGGTTTCTTTTAAAAATCTTCTTCTCAAGAACCACTTGACCAGGTAAGATGAAACTTGTATGGAAACATTCTCAGGTAGTGTAGACTCAAATTTGTTAAAATCATAACCCCCAGGAGTAGGATGGGGCCACAATGGACGATCAAAGTTTTACATAGAAATACATAGAAAAAATCTTTAAAAATCTTGTTTTCCAGAAACACTGGGCCAAGAAAGATGAAACTTATGTGGAAACATCCTCAGGTAGTGTAGATTCAAGTTTGTTCAAATCATGACCCCCAGGGGTAGGGTTGGGCCACAATGGACAATCAAAGTTTTACATAGAAATACAAAAAAATCTTTAAAAATCTTCTTCTCCAGAACCACTGGGCCAAGAAGGAGGAAAACATGTGGAAACATCTTCAGGAAGTGTAGATTCATGTTTGTACAAATCATGATCCCTAGGGATAGGGTGGGACCACAATGAACAATGAAAGTTTTACATTGGAATATGTAAGAAAAATCTTGAAAAAATTCTTTTCTCAAGAACAGCAAAGCCATGATTGGTGATATTTACATGGAAACATCCTCATGTAGTATAGATTCAAGTTTGTTCAAATCATGACTCTGGGGATAAGGTGGGGCCACAGTGGATGATCAAAGATTTACAAAAGCTTCTATCAGGTTATTTTATACTCTATGGATCCTCTATGGATTGTTGTTTTATACTCAGGTGACCGTTAAGGCCCTTGGGCCTCTTATTATAAATTTGGGTAATACTTTGAAAAAATAAATTCTGGAAAGATGTATTTTCTAGCTGGTCTAAAGTATATCAGAATGAAGTTATAAATGGCTTAGCACTCCAGCAAGAACGTGTTTGGTACAATCCAAAGGTTGCCACATATTCTGGATTTAACTGTGTATGAAATATATAGATCAAATACCTATTGCACCAGCTAGCTTCTCCAAATATAAATCAAGACAGGGAAAGGGGGGTTGCTTCAAAGGTAGTAGTAGTCAGTTTATTGAATCATTAAGAAAATTAAAAATGTCAGTTGCATGTACATGTATATTATTGCATGAAAATATTCAAATCCATGTTTATTTCCAACACATCCATTGACATGTGTGTTATTTTATTATTGTAACAATTCTTTACTTTAGAAAAAACATCTAGCAGTACCTTATTTCACACCAAATGGCCTTTTCACATATTTTATTAACTTTTTGTGTATATTGGGTATCAAATGTTTAATTAGTGTCAACAATTATTTTCTTTTCAGGAACTTCTGCGGTACCTTGTGAAGTACCACAGGTTTATATCTTTTTCCCTATATGTGTCAGGATTTGTTGGATTTGTGTTTAGTCTGGTGAAAAGGCACTATCTCAAGCAATTTACATTGGTAAGTTAATTACAGGGGCCCTGCATCTATGATGCTGATGCCCTTACAGTAATCACCATTTCCAAGTATATCTGTTTTTCAATATTTTTATACTGATTTAAGTTAATTTTACTATCCATTATTGCATCATGCTTCAGTTAAAAACTTTCTGAACATTTTCAGCTTCTTCTCTGGAATAACTAAATCAGTTTCAATCAAGATTGATAAAGAGCATCTATGGGTAAAAAAGGGGAAAAAAGAACTTCACTTTTCTCTTCCTTGCTGGTGCCCAAGATGTGTTGCAAAAATGATTAAAATTAAAGCTTAAAAAAATCTTCTTGTGTATTCCTGAACATCAAGCAATCAAAGATTTGGAATGTTAATAATCAACTACAAACTTGTTGCCATGGCAACACAAAGGTCTTTTGTCCTTTCTAGCTCACCAGAAATTTTTTTTGGTGAGTTGAATAACTTGTAATGTTGAAAATACATAAAAATAAACATTGTGTCCAACGTTTTTAGTAAAACTAAGTGGTAAAATCATTTTTTAGCTCACCTGAGCTGAAGGCTCAAGTGAGCTTTTCTGATCGAAATGATTCTGTTGTCTGTCGTCGTTGGCGTTGTTGTCATTGTAAACTTTTCACATTTTCATCTTCTTCTCCAAAACTACTGGGCCAATTTCAACCAAACTTGGCACAGAGTATCCGTGGGTGAAGGGGATTCAAGTTTGTTCAAATGAAGGGCCACGCCCTCTTTCAAGGGGAGATAATAAAGAATTACTGAAAAATTAATAGCATCTTTTAAAAATCTTCTCAAGAACCACAGGGCCAGGAAAAATGAAACTCATGTGGAAGCATCCTCAGGTAGTGTAGATTTAAGTTTGTCCAAATCATGACCCCCGGGGGTAGGGTGGGGCCACAATCGTCGATCAAAGTTTTACATAGAAATATATAGGAAAAACCTTTAAAAATCTTCTTCTCAAGAACAGAAAAGCCATGATGAGTCATATTTATATAGAAGCATCCTCAGGTAGTGTAAATTCAAGTTTATTCAAATCATGACCCCTGGGGGCAGGGCAGGGTCACAATGGAGGATCCAAGTTTTACATAGAAAATATATAGGAAAAACCTTTAAAAATCTTCTTCTCAAGAACAGCAAAGCCATGATGAGTCATATTTATATGGAAGCATCCTCAGGTAGTGTAGATTCTATTTTGTTCAAATCATGACCCCCGGGGGTAGGGTGGGGCCACAATAGAGGATCAAAGTTTTACATAGAAATATATAGGAAAATTTTTTAAAATCTTCTTCTCAGGAACAGCAAAGCCCTGATTGGTCATATTTGTGTGGAAGCATCCTCAGGGTGTAGATTCTATTTTGTTCAAATCATGACCCCTGGAATAGGGAGGAGCCACAATTGGGGATGAAATTTTTACAAAGGAATATATTGGAAAATTTTTATTTAAATCTTCTTAAGTACAACAAAGCCGTATGTTATATTGAGTAGCCCCCCCCCCCCCCCCCCCCCCCCCCCCGGTAATCTTTGCAATACTGAACTGATTTGTGCTTTTGCCAAACCAATGTGCTCTGGTGAGCGATGTGGCCCATGGGCCTCTTGTTTAATGGTCTCTACAAATTATAAATTTAATTAGATTTGTAAGAGGACATCTGTTTACCAAATTAATTTCACAGAAAAATATTGAAAGACAAAAAGAAATGGAAAAAGTTTTTTTTTTCCACTTTTTGAATTGCAACTATATGTAATAACAATAAAAAAGAAGTTGAAGTTTAACATCAGATTTCTACTTTTGCTCTTTAATTTCTTTGATATTTCAAATTCATATCCTCAGCTTTTCTGGAAGAGTTGAGCAGACAGAATTTAATTTTATTGTTAGAAAACTGTCCATAACTTTGAACCAGAAGTGTTTTTTTCATTTTTAGCTCTATTGGTCAAAGATCTGAAGAGCTTATGTTATAGTAAGGTGTCTGCATGTCGGCCATCTGTCTGTTTGTTTGTAAACAATTTTTTTAAAATGCTACTCCTCCTGCAGTTTTGCTCTGATTTTAATATAACTAGTAGAATACACTAAGATACATAATTTCATTTATCAGTTTTTTATTTCAATGAAAAGTGTTGCCATGGTTTCTAAAAATCGAAATGTCTTTGAAATACTTTCAAAACTCTACTCCTCCTACAGTTTTTGTATGATTTCAGTGTTTTAACTTAGCACTCAAGTAAACTACACTAAGATACATAATTCTTTTTATTGGTTTTGATTATGATGAAGTATGTCTATGAAATACTTTCAAAACCCTACTCCCCCTGATTTTATTTCATTTAATTTAAATGATTTCATTTAACTTGGCACATAAGTAGATTTTACTAAGATATTTAATTCTGTATATTGGTTTTTGATTTTAATGAATGCTTTTGCCATGGTTACTATATAAATAGAAAGAACAAGGGCACTTTTGATTTGGATTTGGCAGGAATTAGGGTGCATTTGAAAAGTGAAAAATTCATTAATGCAACACATGATATTTTACCATTCTATTGATGAATTGGGTTCTTGTGATGTAGGAAAGAGAAATATTTCCCAATATTGTGTTTTGATTCACTAAAAATGCCCTGAAACATGGCTAGATGTGTCATTTAGTACAAATGTTACATTTTTACATATGTTTTTGTCTTATTAAAGTTATTTAATTTTTATTAATTTACATTGTATTCTCACGTCTTCGTTTGTTGTTTGTTAATTTTTACGCTACAATGGGATCTTTAACTGGAAGAGTCCATTTGTTAAGTTCAATATGGGTTCTGCCTGGAGGACAATTCTATGACAGCTATCCGATCAAATTGAGGGGTTTTCTCTTCTCATACTGGTGCCCCCTATCAGAGGTCTTCTAGTGCCATCTATTTACGTCATTGCAATCCAATCACATAGCTTGACTTCTTATTTTCAAATTCTTCAACTGTGCCATCCAATCAAATTATGTTAAACAGCTATTTCAATCCATGTTTGGGCCAGTTAGCGTCACTTTCTTAGAAAAACCTCTGAGGCAGAACCCACGTTGTTTGATTCCAAATTTTTTTTTTGTTTTTGTGTGTGTGTGTGTGTGTATGTGAGCGTGTGATGTTATGGTACTTATGTAATAATTGTCTAGTGCAGTAGTATTAGTTTAGATTTCTACCATGATTTCTCAAGATTGAAGATTACCATGATTGCTTGTATGGGAACTATACTTTTACCTTGTAAAATTGCATAATAAATCATGGTTTTGCCCAAACTGTGTTTTTCTACATACGAGAGGAAATTAATATATAAATTAGCTATTTCTAGATCTGGGTCATCGCTACATAATTTTAAAAAGGAATTGGTGTGCATTTTAACTGAAAGGAATGAGCAAACATTTGTAAAAAATGGAGAGAAGACCCAGAGACCATTAAAAATTAACTTCCCCCCCCCCCCCCCCCAAAAAATCACATTGTGTAAATGTTTTGCTTCATAATTGTTTTAAAACACAATTTCTGTTAGTGGCAATGATAGCTCAGTGATATGTCCTATCCAAGACGGTGAGGAACTGATAAGTTTTTGCTTGATCCTTACTTGGGGCATTTATTTATTTTTTTTTTTAAGAACAAAAAGTTTAGTCATTTTGATTCTACAGTTAGTATTTTAAAATAATAAAATAAATTATTCTGTTGCACTGAGATCAAGAGCAATTCTTTTGATTCACTGAGATTTAAATACATCTGCAATTAACTTTGCCCCATTATTTGATAGCTGTTTATTCATTACGTGAAATGATACACATTATCGTAATTGTTAAGATAAGCAGTCTTAACTATTACATTTTTTAACAAGTTAATTTAATGTAGAATAAGATTTTCCTATCTGTGCAGCTTTCATTAAGTCTGTTCAGCTGTGGTCAGCTGACCAAATCATCGGTTTGACTTAGACATTTAAACTATAAATGATTCGTACTAATGATTCCTGCAGGTTACATGCAAAAGATGCCCATCTTCTTTCTGCAAAATACTTTCAAAATGCTACTCCTCATACAAATGTAGTTTTTGTCAGATTTCAATTAACTTGGCAAACAAGTAGGCTACACTAAGATACATAATTCTTTTTATTGGTTTTTTTATTTCAGTGTACAGCATTGTCAAGGTTAATAAAAATAAATTTTTGTGAGAAATACTTTCAAAATGCTACTCCTCCTACAGTTTTGGTCTGGTTTCAATATTACTTGGCACACAAGTAGATTACTGTATGATACATAATTCTTTATATCAGATCTTGATTTCAAGACTAAACCAAGGAACATTATTCTAATTTAATGCTTTTGCATAGTTTCAAGTCCAAGTGCTACTCTAAAAGTACAAACCAGTTGAGCTACAGTCTCATCAGAGACTTCTGGTTTTCAAAGACATTATATGCTCACCTGGTGCTGTAGCCTTAAATTTCTTTTATGATTTAACAATGTCAATGCATCACAAAATCCATTCCCTGGTCCTAAATACTGACTGAAACTCGTCTTTAAAATTTCATGAACAGCTGATTTTAGCAATATTGTAAATAAATCTAAACAAAAGATAGAGATCTTTTTAACTGAGTTGTTGTAGCTCAATTTCTACCCCACACAATCAGTGTTACTTAAAAGTTAATTTTTACACACCTTATTTGCATAATGACATTATACATGTTATATATGTCTCTCCTCTTTCTGGATCTATTTAGCTCACCTGAGCTGAAAGCTCAAGTGAGCTTTTCCGATCACATTTTGTCTGTAGTCCGCCTGTAAACTTTTCACATTTTTGACTTCTTCTCCAGAACCACTAAGCCAATTTTACCAAACTTGCCACAAAGTATCCTAGGGTGAAGGGGGTTCAAGTTTGTTCAAATGAAGGGCCACACCTTCTTCTAAGGGGAGATAATTATAACCCCCCCCCCCCGCAAACGAAGTTTAGGGGGGTATATTGGAATCAGCATGTCCATCTGTCTGTCCGTCTGTCCATCT